TATATATATATATATATATATATATATATATATATATAAAAAAATTTGAATTTTCGTATTTACTTTTGTACCTTCTTACAGAATACTTGAGAAATAGTTGAAATGGTTGGTTTTTAATAATCTTTACAACTAACCTAATTAAATTGGAGGGAGTACTACATGACTTAAACATAGAAACTTAATTTCAAATTGTAGTAAAAGTGTCAGAAGTTGTTTCGGATCAGATACGAGGTATAATAATTTCAGGATATATTAAGATTATGTAATTCTTAGATTATTTATTTTCTCATTTTAATTAGGGAAAGATCAAAAATACCTCTCAATTTTAATTTATTGTTTAATTTTACCATCGCCGTTAAAATAAAGTTAAATTTATCCCTTCCTGTTAAAATAAAGTTAAATTTACCTCTCCCATTAATAATTTCACCAAAATTACCCCTCATTTGATGGAATCCCCAAAATTGACCCAATTCCCCAATTTTTTTAAAAAAAAAAAATCATTTCCTATTTTAATCCGATAACCCGATCCCTTTAAGAAATAACCTGATTAACCTAATACCATATACCCATTTCCATTTACCCATTCCCACTCATTAAAGAACAAATTTTTAAACTTTTCAATTCAAAATTCAATCCTCATAATATTACTATATGCCCTGTTTGAACATAATGAATTTTTCAATAACTCATTAAGGAATTCTTGAGGCAAAAATTAATAAAGAGGAACAAAATGTAAAAAATCAAAGATTGAATCTTTTGAGACAACTAACACACACTCAATTCATGTACCCTTTAGGATTTTATCAACATCATCCTCATTGAAACATGAAGAACCAAAGATTGAATCTTTGAGGTAAAAATTTAAAACTACTAATCAACTCTAATGTCCAAAATCTCCCATCTTTTAGCTATGTTGTTGTCTCTGTCTTCGATCCCTTTTTTTTTTCAAACAGCTACTGATTTTTCTATTTACAACCTCTCATCCTTTATTAATGCATCTCATCATTCTTCTGAATG